TATTCCAGCGTTTAACCACCGTGACAGTTAGGAAGTTTTTCCTAATGTCCAACCTAAACCTCCCTTGCTGCAGTTTAAGACCATTGCTTCTTGTCCTATCCTTTGAGGCCAAGGAGAACAATTGTCTCCCTTCTCCCTGTGACAACCTTTTAGATATCTGAAAATCGCTATCATGTCCCCTCTCAGTCTTCTGAGTCCAGAATACACAACACAGGTTTGTACTGAGATATTTATCAAAGAAAACTGAAGGAGTGTTTGGGGCTTCCTTGGGACTTAATATTACCAGTTTGAAAGCAAACTTCCTGTGTAAACTTGAGCAGATCACTTAGTGTGTGTCTGTCTTAAAACCAATCTGTAATATGGAGATAAGAGACTTTCCTACCTGAGATGAGTTAAATTAGCACTGTCGACTACTCGCTTGCTCCCCCTCCGCCCCAACTGCTGCCCTGTATTATTAAAGGCACAGGGAAGTCGGTGCGAGAGAATGCTGGCTTCCATGTCCCTTTAATAATGCAGAATGGTAGCAGGGAAGCGGGGCTGAGACCTCGGACTAGAAGTCAGCCAGGGTCCTCACACCAGTTTCCCTGTCCCTTTAATAGTGCAGAATGGCAGCAGGGAGTTATACTGAGAGCCGGTGCGAGCTGGGAGTGAGTGCTGAAACTGCCCTTTCTTATTGACCAATCAATGGAAACTCCATCGACTACTCGATTAGCCAATTAACCGCTACTTAACATCCCTAAGATGAGTGTTGTGAGGATAACTACATTAAAGATTATGAGGCATTTAGATACAGTATGATGGGAGCCATATAAATACCTACGATAGACAGATGAAGTGCAATGCCAACATGGAACAAATATCCAATATAATGGATGAAAAGATGGGCTGGGATCATATTGTGACACTGATAACACATTCAAACTAAGGGACTTGATCATCTAGCATAAATTAAGGTAGTTTTGACACAGTTTTATGGCTATTAAAATAAATAATGAACAGCTTTCCCCTTTAACGATAGTTTAGCAGTGGCCCAATGCATCACCCTTCTGCTACCCTCTTTGTCCTTCAAGGGAGCAGTGCTAGCTTTCATGGGAGTGTTGCATCTAGCCCAAACAAATCATCTATTAGTACATAGGAAGAAAAAGCCAATTCAAACTAAGCCTTGTACAAACAAATTGAACTTTGAAATCAGTGTCACTACACATTATGAGAATTTGTAAACAAGTAAATGCCCTCTGAGGGTTGCAGCTGACACTACAAAGGAAAGGGTTAAAGCAACTCTTGTGCTGGTGCTTCACTTTCTCCCAAGTTTCATGTTTTAATCTTTGTGGCGTTATTACCTGAGCCCAGTTTCTGGTCTATCCTCCTGATCACTGGGTGTTACAAACAGAGTGCTTGGCTTTTACAGAGAAGGACCACTGCACTGGGTCTCCCTGTAGTAGATTCTCCTGATGATCTAGGGATGGTCCCAATTCACTGTGAAGGAAGTACCATCCAATTAAACCCCATCTAGATTACAAATACAGCAATGTCTTGGTAATTAGCATATGAAACTCATTTAGCCTGGAAACAAGGCTGAATCATGTCTTCAGAACAGTTTTTAACAACACACCCATATATCAGCTGTATCTGTGCATCTGCACTTACATCAACCATTCTGTGTACCCGTGCATTCTGGAAACAGTCTAGACAGCTATCCTATACTGTCTGAGCAGGAGATACTGTTCCTGGAGAACATGTGCACAGAATGGCACCAACAATGTACAGAACAATGCACTCTGGGCTACATCAGCAGAGTACTATGTATAAAATTACAGTCCTGTCTTCACTTTGTACCTCTCATAAAATATGCAACACTACAAACAACCGACAAAGATATTCCAATTGTCTTGTCAGAGATAGTAACGTGCCAATTATCTTCTCAAAAGTTAATCACATGCTTTTATCTCTTGTTAAACAGATTTGTTACATATCTTACCCATGAAAAATTAAGCTTGTCTTGAAAAAAAGAGTAGCAAAAAGTTTTAAATGGGTCTTTAAAGGTAAAACACAGACAAGATTTTGAGACAAAAACAACTGAATAATGAATTCACTCATTATATTTAGTTATTTATTTGGAGAAGAGGATGTAGTGCAGTGTCCTGTATGTAAATTTTATAGCCATCCTCATGTTAGTGAAAATACAGGAAATAAACTTCATATAAAGAGAGTTACTGTACTTTTATCTTCAAAGTCAGAACAGCAAAGTGGTGACGCGTTCACTGCTATTTTGATTTTGAAAGAAGATTGTTATAAAATAGAAGGAATGCTGTTTACTGTGGAAATATTTTGTGCTAGAGATACCATCTTCTAATCTTGCTCCACCCATGTTAACATACAAGCCCCTCATCTAACGCTCCCCCATAACAAGAGTAATGTCCTACTGCAAAAGGAAAAATCAGATAAAAGACCTCATTACAAGTTGATCTCTCCCGCTCAAAGATACTGTATGTAACCTATCAATTTTGCAAATAAAACTCCGACTAGGACTGAATCAGGGAGCTTTGAGCAGCAATATAAAAAAACCAAACTGTATATTAATTACATTCCATAGCAATAAGAGAACAATTAAGCTTCAAGAACATGACCAACATTTTATGTTGGCCTGCATATTTATTCCTGCCTCTGGAAATTTCCACTACATGCATCTGACGAAGTGGGTCTTTGCCCACGAAAGCTTATGCTCCTACACTTCAGTTAGTCTATAAGGTGCCACAGGACTCCTCATCGCTTCTGCAGATTCAGACTAACACGGCTACCCCTCTGATACTTAACATTTTATGTTGAAGCAATAAGCCAGAAAAGGGCATGCATTACTGCTCTCGATCCATGCACTTCAGATGTGCTGTGAGGTAGGAATGCAAATGCTAATTCTGATCTGGCTCATTATTTTAGCATATTTGCAAAAATTTGGAGCATTATTGTGTTTTTAAATTCTTTTTCTAGATACTATTATGACTGCAGTAATTTTCTCTAGGGAGGGGAAAAAAGAGGAATTTTTTGTTGTTCCTCTCTTTTAAATTGTCTTTTTTGTTTACCATGAAGAAGAGTCACTGAGCACCTGTGAAACCCTGGTGTTTCTTTCCCCCTATTTCTGATTCATGCTCATAATGAAACAGGAGGAGTAAAGGCAGCTGGAAGCATGAACTGCCCAGCCAGTGACACAGTTAAGCAGTTTGCTTTTGGAAGTTACCCTTTTTTTCCTGACACTTCCCCATTATCCCAGGATTTTAGTTATAGAGGCTTCCAGTTTCACCCAGGCAGGGAATAAAGTGATCATCAAACCCCAGGGACACAGGAGATGAGCTTCCTGAAAAATACAAGTCTAGGAGGTTAAAACAGACTTTGCAATTTTTTTCTTTTTAGCTGTGTAGACATTGTAATGTTCCCAAGTCCTACAGGGTGGCAAGAGGAGGAGCAGTGATTCAGTTTGCATAGTTTACTAGTGACGAGGTCCCAGATGTGGTTTCATTGGAAGTTGGTGTAAAGCTATGACAGTATCCAGAAGATTCAACCAGCCAAACAACGTTGCTTTGGGCAAGTATCCCTGATACTATTCCATCCAGGTCCAAATCCCCCACTAACCTTCATTTCATGGAGGGAGTGGAGAAATACAATCTCTGTCCCCACCCCACGATGCCAGAGCCAAGATGAACAAATTCTCCACTGGGTTTTTTTATTGCTGACTTTTACAGCAGATTTACTTCTGCATCTGAGAGCTTTGTGCAGCTCATTTTTTAGTTACTTTTACATAGTAGTAGCCCACAGAAATGAAGCCAAAACTGATATCCTCTTCCCCCACCCCCACAGTATGTCGCCTGCATGGCGTGCCAAGCCTGCAACATCCTCCCCTTTAAAAAAAAGTGTCTGGGAGAAAGCAGTGGTGCATGTTTCTGAAGGAAGAAGTTCTTTTTGATTTTCTACATTTTAATCTGAGGGAGCCAGACCTGTAAATATTACAAAATGATAACAATTACTTAAGAACAGAGACAGACTTACTGTCACCAACTGTTAACTTTCTGATCAGGGCAGCCTAGGAAGTGGACCCTTATCTTTCTTAAGTTCAGGACATGCTGACTAACATCCCTATTCAGTCTGCAGACCTTTGGCTCTGTAATCTTTGTGAACTGGGAAATGTACACTATGACTGACATACTCCCTTCTTGACTAGAGCTCAGCAAACAGAGAACTCCTGCTCTGAGATAAGCAGGCCCCCCACTAAAATGTAGGAAATCAAATTAATTGTTATTTAGAACAAAAATATACAAGTGTAATAACAGCAAAGCTTCTGCAACTTTATTACATAGTGGAAAAGAGACTGGGTGAGCGAAGCAGAGAAACAGACACACACAATGAGAATACACATTAGTTTAGGGTGGAGGGCATTTAAATTTGTCTGTGTTTGGGTGATTTGTGAGTAGCAGAGTACAGGAGAGTCATGAGTTGGCGACTGGGTCACTCATCTCCACTGTGTCTGCTCATACTTAATGGTCTATATAGTGAAACTCTCTTATGGCGAAACTTTTTTTTTTATTGACACAACAGCCTTGCTCTAAGTGAAAGTTTCACTGGAAACAGAAAGGCTCTTTTCACATTGTAATAATGCACATGAACAATTAGGGATGTTAAAAATGCTTAATTGGTTGACTGTTTTAATCTAGATCTGTCCACCTGGCCCTGCCATAGCTGGGGCTGCTCCACTGCCACTGGAGGAAACTGGGAAGGGCTGGTTAACTGGTTAGCATGCTGGTAAGTCTCTTTCTTACTGGTATAAATAAGTAGGGTTGCCAGATGGTTTCAACAAAAATACCAGACACACTTGACATTATATCACAATCTACATTACATCTTATTTAGAAAATACCGGACATTTATATTTTCTCGTTTATATTTTCTCAATTTGTTTCCCCGAACAGAAAGCTCAAATACTGGACTGTCCGGTTCAAAACTGGACACCTGGCAACCCTATAAATAAGACTTTTTTGAAAAACCTCTCCAAACCATAAGGCTGGGGGCAGAAAGCTAACACACAGCAAGGAGGTAGCACCCACTGAAGGAAAATAGCTTTTGTGTATCCTTGTGAAAGTTTCCTTTGATTTGACATGAATTACGAGTCCATTGGAAATAACATGTCATGCATGCACAGTTCACTAGGCACAGGGCTTTTTACTACACTAACAGTGTGTTTAATTAAGGGAGGATTCATATTGCATGGCGACCAAGCTTAGCTAGACAGAGAAAAGTGTTATGAGAAGAAAGGATCCCTGGGAAATGTTACCTTCCTTAACTGTGTGGCTCCTAAGATTTTTAAGGATGTGGCTCTCAGGTGCTCCTAAAGGTTAGTGTTAAGGGTTAGAGTTAGTTTTGGATTATTAATTATTTGTTGAAAAGCCAGAGAAGCTTTGAAGCTCTGGTTAGTGACATTCCTTTTATGTGCTCTTAAAAATATTTGAATCATCTTGGAAAATAAACATGATATGTTTAAATGATATGCTTAAATGATATGGTGGTTAAAATGGCCTGTAAAGTCAGAGCAGTTTTGCAAATACTTAATCTTGTTCATGCTCCATTTTCCTGAAATCACTTTTACTGTAGTGTTTTCTTTTGTCCTGTATCTTAAGGTATGTCTACTTTACCAAGTTTTGTCAACAAAATTTAGGTTGACAGTCAAAAATTGATAAAATAAAAATCGTTAGGTGTTCACATTTGCTCGTTCTGTTGATAGATCATTTGTCAGTTTAATGTGTTCACTTTTTTCACTGTATTCCTTTGGGATATATGGTCATGTCAATGCTCTTTCAGAATATGATCCGAGGAAGCCCACGAAAGCTCATCACCTATTAAACCATCTTGTTAGTCTTTAAAGCGATACATAGTTTTTCCTTTTGTTTTATCACAGACCGTGAGAACAATGCACTGTGGATGTGTATCCCACAGTGGAGTGTTGTGGGAAGACAGAGCTGATCCCTGAATATTTTGTGATTCCCTCCAAGTTGCTTCTCAGCTGCTGGAGTGGCATCATGAGTAGCTCTGTGATTTTTCTGTGCTGAGGAATGTCAAAGCAGCATAGCAGCCCATCCCCCGTTTAAATTGCCACTCCCCCCCAGCAGCAGTCTGCCTGCTGCTGTGTTCCTAGTGCAGTGCCCCAAATGAAGCAGCACACTCAGCTGTCAGATATGGAGCTTTGAAAGGGGAGGGACATATGCCTCCAAGATAGAAGAACTCAAAACACTGAGCAGAACGATCAGGGCAGGCATTGTGGAATACTGGCGGAAGCCGTTTTTTTCAACAAAACAAATGGAAGTCTGGATATGGGTATTTGGACGTGGTCCTACATAATACAGTAGAGATGCTGTGTAGTCTATACTGGCTGTTTGTCGATAATAAAGGGAAGGGAAAAAGGGGGAAAACCCTCTAGTAGGGTGAAAGTTTTTTTTTTTTAAACTAAAAATGGACTTTTTCCTGACAAATGTCACATTGCAGTGTGTACATTTTCACCATTGTGTCGCCACAAGTGAGGTTTTGGTGACAAAACTTGGTAATGTAGACACACCCTTATGTACAGTATTTTTGGGAGTTTTGTATTAGTTTCTTCAAGTCAATACTTAACCAAAGCAACAAATCTAATACAACTGGTGCCAGATGACCAACAGACACTAAATTGCAATGGGCCATACAGTATGCTATGTTTTGTATATGAAGTGTATCTAGTCTTTTGCTTGTCAGTACACTTCTGTGAAGTCAGACCTTTCTGTCTTTCTGCAGCATTGAAGGAACTTTTAGGACCCACTTAAACTAGTGGGCTTTTTTTTTTTTAAACTTCATAGCTGAATCAATGCCAGACAAGATAGACTGACTTACATGCTATGCCATCTCAAGTCCTGCATAGAAAATCAGATTTTCTACTGCCTTAGTCATTTCCAGCTGATCTCGTTGCGGCATTTCATACTACTAGAAGTTTAGTCTAGACGAGCTTGTGTCAAAAGAGAAAGAGAAACATTTGTTCTATTTCTCTTGGTCATTCAAACTCCCTTTAAAGACTGGAATTCATATTTAATTGGCTTCCCCCCTTCCTCCACAAGGTTTTCAAAACATCTAATGTTGAGGTCAGGTCATACATTCATCATGGCAGCTTAAGAACAAACACAGAGCCTTGGCTTTTGCTAGCACTCTTCCATCAGTGGCTGCTCTTTAATAGGAAGGAAAACAAACCTTTGTAGGTAGAAATATGAAAATACCCTCCCACTCCTGACAACGTCCTTGACTGTCCTGCATATCAACCCAACCCTCCACATCCCCTGCTCTTTAAACCCTCACAGTGCAGTCTTCTTCCTTATGGATAAGAACTAGATGAGCCCCCCCTGGAGCCAGTCAGTGATAACCAAGGAAGTCATAAAACACTGAAAAAATACTGCCTTCTCAAGGCTAAGCATACTACCTCTGCACCAACCCCAGCTCTTTTAGACAGAGGGAGAGAGAATCAAGGAAATGGCTCTTTCAGTGGCAGGACAACTATTGCTAGGCTCACCACAGGTTAAATTAGTATTTCTTTTGATACATGGAAATGTTCACAAGATATTGGTTTTGCTTATGTTTAGCACTCCTTAGTTACAGAACAAACTGAATGCTAACTGCCTACTGGTGAGGGGGTAAGATTTTCCACAGGCAAATTTTTGCACAATTGCTCATTATGGGGGTTTTGATGCATCTGGTACTGACCGCTGTCCAAACTGAACTAGATGGACCATTGGCTGCCACTGGCTTTCAAATATTGGGAATTGGCAGCGACAGTAACAGTCAATGTAATAAAGAGGCACAGCAAAGTTGTAAATACTCCTGTCTCCCACTCCACTATCACAAAAGGATCCAGAATCTCCAAGGCTAAGCAAACAGTTTGAGCACTAGATGTGAAATACTCTAAAAAGTTTTAATATAACTTGAAGTATTAGAATTATTTTTATGGATCACCCACAGATTAGTTCATTTGCACTGTTTTATTTGATGCTATATAGGTTTTTATACTGCATTCACAATGGCAGTGTGAGTGCCTGTATTTCATGCTTCAAAAGGTAGCATGTGAAGCATCTACAATGCTGGCTAGAGACCATGTCTAAGGGAACTAACTCATATGGTTATTCCAAAGTAACTATTCCAATATAATGTCGCTATCATGGAATAAATCCCCTGCCTGGACACACTGTTCTGGAATAAAAGTAATACATCTGAGCCCTAAATTGTGTCAATGCAACTACTTCAGTTAGTCACCCAAAACCCAACTCTGCCAATGCATCTCAGTGCTTTTGTGCACAACCTCTCCCACTCCAGACTTTGGCCTCTGGATCAAGCACTGTTAATTATATCAAACTTATTTGTTTGCACACCAGTAGTTCCTACAAAGTTATTAAAAAGTACCTAACTGTCAGGGTAGTCAAACACTGGAATAAATTGCCCAGGGAGGTTGTGGAATCTCCATCTCTGGAGATATTTAAAAATAGGTTATATAAATGTCTATCAGGGATGGTCTAGACAGTATTTGGTCTTGCCATGAGGGCAGGGGACTGGACTCGATGACCTCTCGAGGTCCCTTCCAGTCCTAGTATTCTATGATTATATCTTTGAACAGGAAATATACTGCCGGTCCCCAAAGAATTTACAATCAAACCATACAAGCAGCGTATGAGGGAGAACGCAGGAGGCGGCAATCAAAATGTATACAAGATAGAATTTTCAGAATCACTCACTGGCAGCCTGACTTCCACAGAAGTCCATGGAAGTTTAAGTACCTTTCAAGACCCTGCCCATAACGTTTATGTATATTATATTCATGTTGATATACTTAAATTTCTCTACTGCCTCAAACCTGTCCATTCTCAACTGCCTAATATTTTGCAGGCATTAAGGCAGAGATGTGTTTTGAGGAGAAAGGGCAAGGTCCTTACAGATCAAACAGCGATAATATCTATAGCGGTTTTATGATGGCAGCAGCTGTCCATTTGGGATGATGATGAGCACACCAAATATTATTCCAAATATTGTGAGGCAAGTCTGTATTTTAATGTAGGAGTCCATGGGTGAAATACTAGTGACGTGGTTTTCTGGGCCATCTATCATTATTAATTCTTTCATTTGTAGGAGAAAGAATGCCAAATGTGAGAACTTAGGGCTTCTATTTACTTTCTGGCTTGAATATCTAGAGGGAAAATAGATGAATGGATTCTGCGAACTTTTCAGTTTTGTGTTCTCTATGCTGTGTATGTGTGTTAAGAATGCTGCTTGTTAACAGCAACATTTTGTTTACACAATCATAATAAAAGACAAAATGGCTACCATTGTAAGACTTCCAAGTACAATTTTAGCTGAAGACATAGCTTTGAAAATTTATCATTTTTATGTTTCTCAATTACATCAGTGACGAGGCTTCACTTGACAAGATAGAGTCATTCATTTATTCTCTTTGCAATGGCTTGCCCCTACAGGATCCAGACTGTGCAAGGCCACTAGTTGGCACCAGCCAAGGACTGGTCTTGTGACACCATGTCAATCTCAGTAAGTCACAGACGAGACATTCAATTCTCTATAGCAGGTTGCTGTATAGCTGTTTTCAAAAACAATTAGTTAATGAAAGAAGGATCCAAAACACTGACTAAGGCTGAGCACAAAGAATCCTTAACATTTTCCTTGTGACCCATTCTTAATGAAAAAGAGAAAGTGATAAAGATGAGACTGCAAAGGATCCTGTTTACAGGATCTTGTCAAAAGAACTGATGAAAATTAAATAAGGCTCGTTTTAGTTGCTACTGCCTTCAATTAATGAAGGAACCACTTCCAGTCATAATAATTACCATATGTGCACTGTGCTTTACCTCTGGGCATGTTAATTCCACACATAAGAGGATACTGCTATTAGGCTGCACTAGAACACATTGATGTCACAATAGAAATGCTCCCACTGTAATATTCTGTTACACAAACTGATTTGGATGATAGAGAAACAGGAGTCAGCACTGACTAACAGACAACTGTCTGGTTGTCATTCCTCTCTCTGTGCTCAAACACAAAAATAGTATTGCAACAGAAGGAAAACAACAGATCGCTTAGCTGTTCAGCAGACAAAGCCTTCACAGTCTTGAGAGACAGACGCTGTCTCCCAGATAGTTGCAACACTGTTCTGGGTACGTTTTGTATCAATTACTTTTCATTCGCACTGCAATCTGCCAGATCGTAAATTTATGTTAACAGCAGCAGTGAATGCCACACAATGCTAGAGCAATCAAATGGAAGAATAATATGGTATTTCCCAGTAAAATATGTACTTTAATTTTATGTTATCAATTAACTTGAATTATGTATATCTGATTTTACAGGTTTAGTATAACCAGTGGAAAATGTATATACCCCAAAAACCTTTAAAAAAATCAGTTTGTAGTCAGTAGGGGGCAAATGGTTTGTAAATAAAAGTAAAATGCAAAGTTAATAGTAAAGTGCACTAAAAGATGACTATAACCTGTTTATAATTTTCATGGACAGTACATCAGAATAAATTTTAAAAAATGATCTGGTCAAGATCATGTAAACTAGATTACCTACTATATTGAGAAGTTTAGCTCTTAAACAAGTACTATAAAATATTTTCAAATCCATACGTCTCTTAATTTTATTGCTTCTACTTTATGCACAAGATGATGTGTGACATCAAGAATATACTTAACTTGCCATCATACTAAATCACAAGTTAAAAGCATTCAGGTAAGATAAAACTGAAAATTGGTTGAAAATTATTTCTAACTACAATGGAAAGGAACAAACATGAATGTAAGGGTTATATTAAGTTTATGATCTGCAGGACGTGTATATAGTGAGGCTGCATGTCAGCAACCTCATACAATATTTAAAGTTAAAAGGGATATGGAGTCTTCTTAGCAAAGTCATAAAGAAACTAACAAGAGTAAACAGTTAATGTCTTCTTGCTACTTCTGAAATTAGGAACAAACCAGATTTCGTCAGCGAGGTTTGGCAACGTGAGAAATCCTGTAACCAATTTCATTTCCTGATAAATGAACGGTCCACAGGGGAAAGTCAGCCAGAGGGTTTCGGAACTGTCGAGTGCTCAGACATTACTGAAAGACTCCTTGAAGGAGCCAGACAGTCTATTGCTTATCACTACTGAGCCAAATAGCACCATGCAAACATTGGAACTGCCAGATTCCATTTAGAACTCTTACTGAAGCACAACATGATAGTACTTCATCAACATGTGGTATCCCCTTAAAAAATGAAATGACTATAGTACACTTCCTATATTATGCTTTAAGCCACTGAGCTGGAAACACATGGCTGTATAAAACACACACTGGTATATGGCTTTTAACTTCTTTTATTGTTTATACATTTTAAAGCCAAGCCCCAAAAACAACTTTGTATTTAGAATGAGTTTAAATTTTTTTTTATTTAGTATTTCAACAGGAGAAGTAAGTACAGAAAGTAAATAATTCAAGTATGGATTATATTTTGTCAAGAGTATGACTGGGGCAAAGTTTCAAATGAATTGACTGGCTGCACTGCTGGCAAAGTTGAGCACTCTCTCTCTTGCATTTTAGAGTTTTTTGTTTTAATCTAAATAAACTCTCTCAGAGTTCTTTTCTATTTTAAGTTATCACAACTAGTATATGTGATCATTTAACAGTACAACATAATAGTAAACATCAGATCTACCTGCAAAATAACTAGAACTCTTCATTATAACAGACAAGTGGTGATAAGTTTTTAGATGTAACATTTAAAAAACATCTTTCAAAATGGAGCCTAACCTGAATGTTTGTTCTTTTTTATATTGCTACAAGTTGATACACAACTCAAACATTTTTACAGAAAAGTCAAGTAGCTTGACACGTAGAGATTTAACTTTTAAAAGTCCAAAGCCTGAGCTTGTTAAAAAAAAAAAAAAAAAAAAAGTATTGCCAGTCTGATGACCCCTGAAGGGAAGATAAAAAGAAAAAATAGCTCAAATAATAACTTCAGGCTTTTATTACAAAATATAGGCTAACTTTTCAAGTGGATGGCAGGCTTAGATTAGTAGTGGAGTCTGTAGTTGATTAGCTACACCCTTACAAACAGATGTCATAGTGACAGGGAGAAAAATGCTATAGATTCAACAGTTTATAAGGAAGGGCACATTTTCACTGATGAACAAAATATTAAAAAAGAAACCAGGAGAGCTAGAGAAATATTATATGCTTGCTCTTAGCCCAAATGTCTGAATTTATTTTCCCTCCATCTTCTATTTGCTCTTGTAACCATAGGATAAATTCTTCATGTCAAAGGAAATTTTTCCCATTTGACTAATTTTTCTCTTTATCATGATGTAGCCATGTATTAATTTGCTGTGATTTTAGGGATATTGCTGAGGTTCAAACAGAAGGTCAAGTTCTGTGTTTGATAAACACAAGGTGGAATATATTAAGAAAAAAAGTTCTTTATGTTAAGTATTTACCATTCAAACCCTGGTTTGTAAGCAAGGTATATGAAAACCAGAATGCACCTTGGAGAGAGGAGCATGGTTTAATCTTAAAATAGAGAGCTAAGAATTCCAGGAATCATAATCCCAACTGACACTGACTCCCTGCTGTGGCCTTAGTCAAATCCCTTAAATTCTCTGTATAACAAATTCCCCATCTGTAAAGTAGGGAAGATACTACTTATCTTACCAGAACAGTGGGAGGATTGGTTATGCTTGCAAAGTACAGTATTCTGAAGATAGAAAAGAGTATTAAATGCTAACTATTATTAATGTCCTTTGGTTAAAGCAGTTACTGCTATATATATTACATATATGTGCACGCTCTCTCTCTCTCTGTCTCTCTCTCACTTCAAGAATTAAAGGGTAATATGGTACTCACAATTCAACAACAGAACCCTCAAGCTGAGATTTCCACATTAGCAATGTCACTAATTCCATCTTTACCTACTCGTCTACCAGTACTTTGCTTCCATAGCCCCTGTTATTCAGTATCATTAGTGCAGAGCAGCAAAGAGGTATGAAGCACGGGCTCTCCCAAGTTCCATGTTGCCATGCTATATAACATATAAAGTCTTGTGACCCCAGACACATGGCGAGATGGATAGAGGTTTGGATTTAAAAGTGGATAATGCTAACTGAGGGAATAGTAAGTGTATAAGAGTAATGATGCGACTGGATAATAATGACATTCTTACTGATGCAATAGTTACCTGAGAGAGGATACGGCCCAAGAAGATTGGACATGAAACCAACAAGTGCTTTTTAATTGGCTTGTTGATCATTGTGATGGATGCCTTTCTCTGCTAAAGAATAAACATGATTGCTGTGCAGCATCGTCAGTCTCTATTGATATGTAGAATAGTGATAGAAATGTAGCCGTGTTGATATCCCATATCTGTTGATATGGGAACTAAGACTCTGGTTGCCTATGTCTAGGCAGCAGCAATGCAAGTTACTATTGTTAAGTTGCTCCACAGGTGACACGATTAGCAAAGCAACAAGTATTTATGGTTATATTCCCAAATTGTGAAATATTACAGCAAAACACTGCACCAATGCCACTATTACAAAATTGTGGTCATAAAACAAATGAACAACATGTGCTTAAATAGTATCATTTATCTGTGTGTGTCACTCCACAAATCGAGGCCCTTTTTGTAAAGTATTAAACTTATTTTACAAGCAGGGAAACCGAGGGACTGCAACTCTCAGTCTCACAATGAGCCAGTGGAAGAGCCAAGTAAAGATCCCAGGAGACCTGAATCCCAACCCCGCTATCAAGTCATCATACCATTTGGAGGACTGATCTACTCCTACAGAAGACTCCTGATAACTTTCCTGGAAATTGGAAAAGTCCTTGTTTCCTATTATTAAACTAGCAGTAATGGTTCATAACATTTAAAACTACCAGTCCCTATTGACTTAAACAGGGCCAGGAGTTCAACCATGAATCTTTAAAATGCTAAGAAGAATGCACATTTTAGGGAATAGTAGGGTAACAGGACTGAAGTTCTCTGTTTACTCTTGATCTACAAAGAAAAAGTTTTATGGAGTGCTCTTTCCAAGTTGAAGGCATGATGATTATTTTCTGCTGGAAAACATTCTGGCTCGTTTACAGTGAGAATCTAATGGCCAGGAGTTCAACCATGAATCTTTAAAATGCTAAGAAGAATGCACATTTTAGGGAATAGTAGGGTAACAGGACTGAAGTTCTCTGTTTACTCTTGATCTACAAAGAAAAAGTTTTATGGAGTGCTCTTTCCAAGTTGAAGGCATGATGATTATTTTCTGCTGGAAAACATTCTGGCTCGTTTACAGTGAGAATCTAATATTACATCGGAAAGAGTTTAAAGAGCAGAGACTCAAGAGCTTGCTAATGCATATTTTCCTATGCTGATGCTGTAGTGATGTTTATATTACTCTTTGATAGGGAGGTGTCAGAAAAGCATTACTATACTTCTGACATTGTGCCAGGAGTACAAGTAAACTAAAATTGCTGTTTCTTTTTAGCCCTAGTTAGCAACGCCAGTAAGTTGCTTTTTAATTCCTTCTCTCTGCACCCCACCTCCCATTTAATAGGTTTCCTCACCACCACTACTGAAAGAAACCATAGAAAAAGCCCCTGAAACAAATGTTAAGTGAAAATGCTGTTTTAATTCCACAAATGACTGACAGCTACAATATAAAAGCAAACCTAAGTTGTTTGGGTTCTCAAGAGCAGCCACATTTTTTAAGCGAATTTCCAATGACCATAAGAGCATTATTTTTGCACATAAGCCTATCAAAATAATTTAATAAAAATGTATATTCTAGAATTTTCATATCCAAAGGACACCTGGGGAGAGGTGGACTGCACATCCCCTTCTCAAATAGTCTTGAAAGTAATGTATAAATATGGGATCAGTTACAACATTAACTAACTCTCCTTGGGAGTGCCACAGAGAGGTTGTGGTATACACTACTGTTGCGAGACCTGGCAATCTTTTGACAGATAACTTGACTGTAACTAGGACCTTATGTGCAAAAGTACTTTTCTTATACCAACAAAAGTAAGCCAAATCTTGGAACATGCAACATTTAAAATCCCACATATAGGTTTAGTGGAGCAGTAATTGTACTGGGCATTTTTGTTGCTTTTTAAATTTAACAATCTTTGTTTATATCAATATGCTTTACAAATGACTCACCATATTAAGCAAACAGTTTAAAAGTCTACAGTTCAGTAATATGAAGCTTCTCACTGAATGTTTCAAGCTGAACTATGTTCCAATAGTGACAGTATACATTTATTTCCCTTTCCTTAAAGCTTCCAAATTACGTGCATTCTTACAACGTATACTAGAAACAGAACTTGGAAATCAGTTTTGTAATAGCTGATCACAAACTCATTCCTACTCATTTGCAGTATCTGCATGGTATACATTGTGTGTACAGAGAAATAGGCCATATTTTAATTTCTTTAGAGACCATTGGAATAAATTTTTGACAAATTTTTGCTGCCCTGTTTTTTTGAGAGCTCAACCCATTTTTCAAATGATTGTGGATCTGAAAACTGCCACTGAAAAATTATTTCCATGAATCAGTGATGCTGATATAGTGCCGTAGGCGATGTTTGCACTTGCAGAACTGTATAAAGCACGTACTCTGCCTGTCCCCAGGGCAAGGAAAGAGCAATGTCAAACAGAAAGACTCTGGCAGTGGAGAGAGGTTCTGATAGGCAAGAGGCACCAGGGAAAAGCTCCGGCATCTCTCTATAGCATGAAAAGGCTCTTTCGGCACAGGAGAGGCAGCAGGGTACTATACTTCTAAAAACAGCAGTGTAGATGGGGGAGGCAGGGATTGGGCATGTAGAGAGAGTCATGTAGAGTATAACACTTCAAGGTTCTGGCAAGTCTTTACTTTACACACCTAAGCAGTGCCTCACCATTTCCACTGTGATTTATAGCTGTGCTACAGTGCTGTAACTCTGTCGCTGTGGCACGCATAGCACAGACATGGCCTGAGGCACTTTAATTCCAAAATAAGGGTGTTCACACATGGAGTTAATCAGGCATAGCTAATCTCTTAAAACTGTGATTATAAACCAGTTTGGTTAAACTGGCGCAAATACTTGTGTGGATGCTTACTGCAATGTAGGTTATGTCTACACTACCGCTGTACCACATAGCTGTGCTGCGGTAAATTCTCTTATGTAGCCAACAAGAGAGACCTCTGCCATGAGCATATTTAAACAACCCCAACGAGTGGCACATCTCATACTCTTTAAATGCAGAGGGGCACCCTTGGACCCGGTGCAAACTGGGACTGAGCCAGCATGCTTGCGTGCTGACTCTCAACTTTTTCAAATGCAGAGCCACTTATTGGTTAATCGTGTATCTGACCAAAATTTTGATGGCTACACAATTATCAAATCACACGCTTCCTAAAATCCCTAGTGTAGACATAACCTTACCTAAGACAAATAGAAACAGGTTTAAACATGAAAATTAGCCATGATTAAATAAGTGTCTACACAAGGGTTTTCATTAGTTTAATTAAGGCTATTTAATTAAACCAGTGCAAGTTTGTGTGTAGACAAGCCCTTGGGCACCTGCTTAATTAAGTACCATCCTCAACCAGGCCATCTACTGTCCTAAGTTCAGTAACAACACTTCACATAATTGTTCCTGGATCTCCTGGCTGTCTCAAGGCATGTTCGTTGAGGGAAGGACAGCACAAAAGCCTGTGAGAATCAGACCTCTGGTTATGAATGCTTTCAAAAGTATCATGAATTAATTATTCACTGCTTCTCAGTCAGCTGAGAAGTGAGTGACATCTTACAAGAGTATCTATGCTAGAGCAGCACAGCTGTAGCTTCTCTGCTATAGCATAGGTATTTACTACCACAACAGAAGGGATTTTTCTGTTGCTGTAGTAAATCCATCCCCTAGAGAAGTGGTAAGCTAAGTTGACAGAAGCACATTCCATTGACTTGGCAGCATCTAGTACAGCAAGGGTTAGGTCGATCTAACCAAGTTGCACCTAAGTTTTAGATGTGACCAGGCCTTAATTTTGTTCAGCATGAACCAATGCCATTCAGTCCGATGTGAGAGTTGCAATGTAGATACACACTAGAACTGTGCTTTGATTTTTATGCACAATTCTGCCCCAACAAAACTACTATGTATTGTTTTTAGCATCAGTTCTGAAGAGCCGTAAAAGAGCTTGCCAAAAATATCCCCTACATTCCTCCTTCCAGTTTGATATTCTGAAGGTTAAGGGTTAACAGCAGCTGTGTGTTAGCCAAAGGGAAGTTTGCATTACAGCTGCCTGCATAATGTCAGACCTAAGGATGTATTAGACACAGTCAGCTTCCAGTATTGTCAGATCCTTGACCTTTCAGAGCAGAAAAACATAAATATAGAGAAAATCTGATGAATTTATTTTTAGGAAGTTTTCTGTCTCCCTCACCCAGCACTATGCCCTAGAGTCCCTGGTCTCCATCATTAATCTGCTGTTTGCTCCTTTGCAATGCCATGTGGCATTAATTTACATATTCTTATGTAGTGCTCCGTGTCCATGGCAGCTGGGCACTATTACAACAATTAAAACAAACATAAAACAGTCACAAGCAGAGACAACCCATTTAAATTAGTAAACTGTGTGTTTGCCATGGCTTAATTAAAGGCCTGTATGAACAAATGTGCCTTGCATCGTGCCCTGAAGCTCACCAAAGTCTTGTTCTGGCACAGCACAGCACAGCAGCCTGACCTCCAAGCACGAGAACTCAGTGGGGAATGCCCTGCTGCAAGATTCCTACAACGAAACTCAGTGAATCATCAGCAAGAGCAATCTTTCTGATCTTAACTGGTGTCATGATTCACAGGGTGAGGGATGATCTCCCTTCTAGTTGCACCCTAGACCACATCAAGGCTTTACAGATTGTAACCAACACCCAAAATGCAAATAGTTGGCCAATCCAGAGCACGGAGCACTGGTGTAATGTATGCACAGTGATCCAAGATACTCAGGGTATGTCTACACTAGCTCGTTAGTTTGAGCTATGTAGGCAAATGAGGGCAACCGGAGTTGCAAATGAAGCCTGGGATTTAAATATCCTGGGCTTCATTTGCATGTTCCTGGGCGCCGCCATTTTAAAATCCCCCTTAGTCCGAACTAACTGCCCGCGGCTAGATGAGGCAGTTAAACGTTAATTTGAACTAAATCCTTAGTTCGAATTATCTGTTACTCCTCATTCAACTCATGGAATGGCCAGGAGGTGAGATGTGATGTGTCCCCGGAATGCTGCCCCGGGCGGGGCAATTGTGTGCAGGGTAGAGAGCTGCTCCCGGGGCAGTTGTGTGCGGGGCTGGCTGAGAGTCCTCACCTGGGGCAGAGGGAAGCTGCTGCTAGAACCCAGGGTTTGCAGGGAGTGAGGTGCTGGGGTAGTGACACACGGAGGGAGGGGAGGGGGGAGACAGAGTCCTCTGAGGAGTGAAAGAGGGGCAGAGATGCAGTAGGCCCCAGCCCCAGGAGCAGCTGCACCACAGTCCAGCTCCAGCCTTCGGAGGCTGCCATGCAGCCCACCCAGGGAGCAGCCAGGCATCCCCTCTGGGGCCCTGGCCACAGCTGGAAGACAGGACAGTGGGCCAGCTAGCCTATTGGTCTAGCCCAGCGTGACGCATGCCCCTGGGGCCCCCCCCCCCCCGGCCCCTGCCATATGCCTCAGGCTGCAGGAGTAGCCCTGGACACCAGAGCTGCCTTCTCAACACGTGGCCCAAGCCACCGGAGCAGCCCTCTTGTCATGCAGCCTGCTGCCATATGGCTTGGGACTGCTGGAGCAGCCCCAGCCACCAGGGCAGCCAACCACCACAGTCCCAGTTGGCCACAGCAGCCACCTGCCCACCCACTATGCAGTCCCGGCCCTGGCTGAGGAGCAGCTGCCCACCACTCACTTTCTGCGGGAGCTAGAACCCACCATGCCTCTCTAGGTATTGCAGAAAAATGAGTGGTGTTGCATGGCTCTGCAAAATAGGTGCGCAGGTCTAGAATTATTTGTGCGTGGCCACGCAGGTGTTCAACTTAGAGAGAACTAGGGCTCAAGGTCATTACCCAAACCCCTGCATCCCTCCTGCACTC